ACACAATAAAAATCCCGGAAATCTACCGAAAAAATCGAAGTCAAATTTGTTTGTGGACGTTTAGTGCACGTTTGGGTAAGTTTTTATTCTCCTTAAAGCTGGATCACGGTTTTGTTTACATGTACATTTACAATAAAATAATTTACTCTAGTGTTAATGTTTTTTTCCGCTTGCTTGTAACGTGTCTCAAGATATTGAATAATCCATTCATTCATTCTGTCTACACATCTTTTTTTCGACTTTCACCTCTCGTAATACAATAATGTTCCTTCTGTCGCATCTTCTCCAGAATTTCCGCAGCGTTTGATTTTTCTCTTTTGAAGTTTACAGATAGTTTGTGGAAATGTCGATCGGAGTGCCTATCAAAGTTCTTCACGAGGCTGAGGGACACATAGTGACCTGTGAAACCAACACTGGCGAGGTTTACAGAGGCAAACTCATCGAGGCAGAAGACAACATGAACTGCCAGGTCTGAGACAGAACTGCCCTGTGTAACAACAGACGCTGCAGGCACTAATACTTCTTTTCATGCACTTGTCATTTTAGACTCAAATCTTTCTAAAGTCTAATGTAATAACGATATTTAAAATACACACTTGGAGTCATTTTGTATTACATTTTGATCAATTTGTGTCTGCAGATTCCAAATACCATTTATATATTTAAAAACAATGTTCCACTACAGTAACTTAGCTTTTACAAACACACAACTTTAGTTTTATTCATTTGTTTTTTCTGAAAGTTTTCATGCCTGACTATATACAACAAATAATTGTACTTTTTTATCAGTGTTTTCTACATTTGGAGTGACAAAAAGAGATTGACCGATATCCTCTTTAAAAACCTAAAACTGCAACGTGTCAGAAAGAAACGTGTATTTTGAAGTGTCATATTTCACTTAAAATTTAGAAATGTCAGCAAATTATTGTATTTTTCATTTAAAAAATGTTTTATCTGTTTTTAAAAACTCTTAACCTTTGTAAAAATCCTAATGTAGTGAGTTAATTGTTGGAGTATGATAATAACTATTATTAAATGTGTTTACCCTAGTTTTCACCTTCAGTGTCTTTAACTAATATCAATACATAAAATGAAATGTATAATGATTTTTCGAAATGAACAAAATGTTTTTATTGTAAAATGTGAAGGATTTCTTTTGTATTGTCTCTTGACAATTCTCAATTGAAATTGAAGTATGAAGTTTCATTTATTATTTTTTATTATCCATATTATGTTTTTAATTGGTATTGATCTTGCCATGAAATAGCCACAAGTTTACAAAAAGATAACTTTCTTATATCTAGATATAACTATATAAAGAAATATCTCAATCAATCCTTGCATTGGACTTTTCTTTCTGCCACTGGAACTTTTGTCTTGACTCTTTGTATTTTATCTTTAATGTCTTTCAGATGGCAAACATCACAGTCACATACAGGGACGGTCGTGTGGCTCAGCTGGAGCAGGTGTATATTAGAGGCAGTAAGATCAGGTTCCTCATCCTGCCTGACATGCTGAAAAATGCTCCGATGTTAAAAAGTATGAAGAACAAAAATCCGGCAGCTGGTGCCGGTCGAGGAAAAGCAGCCATTCTCAAAGCCCAAGGTAATTACAGCGGCTTCAGCCCAGTCATTCTTTTGCTAATTTGAAAAGGTTATAATTCAGCTGAAGGACATAAATTCATGAAGTCCTGGCATTAAATGTTACATGCACGAAAACAAAAGTATCTTCCACTGTAGTTTTGTTCTCTAGTACAAATATTTAAACCTGTTTAAATAAAGTATGATTTACTTAATATGCAAAAGTAAGAAATAAAGTCTTGCTTTCTAAAAATTCCAACTAAATATATATATATTTTTTGCTTAAAACAGAAACTAATATCATTAGGTAATGACTTGTTTTTCCCATTTGAATTAAGTTACCAGGCAGATATTTGCTCTTGTTTTATTAATAAACTTGATCAGTTTCACAGAAATTATGCTTTTCATCTTTAATTTGGCTTTCCAAGTAAATTTATCCTGATTCAAGAATCATTTGCACTGAAAAACAAGAAAGAAACGCTGAGGAAAAACAGAACTTTTTTGCAGTGTGATCAAAAAGCACAGTGAACTTGAGTTTGCATATTGGATTGTTCGGGAGTTATTTAATGCAGTAAATTCGTTTGTTTTGGGAAAATTAACAAAATGAAAGATTATGGAAATTAATTTGAAGGTTGTTTTTTTTTTTTTTTTTTAATCAATCCCTTTAAATATACATTTAAAATATTATTTTGATGTTTTGTTGTCTCAGTCTGTTGATACAATATGTGTTTTTGTAACATTCGTTTTATTATCATAAAACGATCTTGGTTTATGAACATACAATAGCACTGCCATCTAGCTTCAGGGATTAAACTTTGTTTATTTATAGTTCAATGAATCCGATATTGATACTTTGTTTCCATTATTGTTTACGCAGTGGCAGCCAGAGGACGTGGTCGTGGTGGACCAGGACGAGGAAACGTTTTCCAAAAAAGGCGCTAGTTTTACTGATGTATCTTTTTAAATTGTTTTTTAAAGTTTCAACTTTTTTTATATATATAAATTTGGTCTGATTTTATTTTATAATGTTCGCTTGATGCTTTGTGAAATAAATGGGTGACTTTTGATATTTTCTCAAACATGTTTTTTCTGGTAGGGATATTGTGTGTGTGTGTGTGTGTGTGTGTGTGTGTGTGTGTGTGTGTGTGTGTGTGTGTGTGTGTGTGTGTGTGTGTGTGTGTGTGTGTGTGTGTGTGTGTGTGTGTGTGTGTGTGTGTGTGTGTGTGTGTGTGTGTGTGTGTGTGTGTGTGCATTTAAAATTTCAACATTTTTTTAAATGTGTACATGATATTAATAAATGTATAAATAAATAAAAGTATTAATATTATTAAATAGTTACTACATTTAAAAACTGCATTACTTAAATAGTTTCAGCAGATTGTTTTTCCCATCTTACACTTAATTGACTTTAGTCAACATAGAACTTTTTTTATTTTTTGACAATTATTTGCACTAAATTGCTTTGAGGATCTGAAAAAAAATAAGCTTTGAAAGTGCAGAATAAATAAATAAGGCTTGACATTAAACAAGAGTATTATCATCTCCATCTAAAAGGGGTTATAAACTGGCTTAATGTTTTGTTTTTCTTCTTTCAATAAGCTTTTTTTCCCCACTTCCCTGTTTTGAGGCCATCTCTGAGAAAGTCCAGATATATTGTCCTACTCTAAATAGATTTGCTATTTTAAATGGGTCAAAGACAGTTAATAATTCTTACTTTAATTTATTCACCATGCTGATAAATGTGCATTGTATAGCCTCCTCCTGTAAACTCTTTATTAATAATAATGAAAAATGGGCATTTAAAAACCAAATCCATAATGGATATTTTAAAATAAACAAAAACCGTGTACGATGGAATTTTTATAAACCTCTTGGTCATTTATGAGTGTGTGTGTGTGTGTGTGTTTCTGCTGCTACTGTGTTTATCCACAACCAGGCTCTGCTCAATATGATCTTCAACAGCGTGCTTATTGCTCCTCTGTGGCTCAATCTACCATGTAATGTGTCAATGACTGGGCGGAGCCACAGAAGCATTGATGTCCTTTTTATTGCAGGTATTTACCCAGATAGGTACATTCAGGATCTGACATTTTCTGAACCCGCTGTCAATAAAAGCTGTTATTTCAGTAAAAATATTGTCTTAAGCGCTAAAACTTTTATTGTTATAAAGCAAACTATATCAGTATTAGCGGTAATTTTAAAAAACAATCAAATATTTTTTCCCTAGAGGATAGTCCACCAAAAAAGTACGTTTTCTCATCCTCTAGTAGTGCACGTGTGTGAAATCCAGTTCCTGGAGGGCCGCAGCTCTGCACAGTTTAGCTTTAAACCTAATTAAACACACATGATCAGACTAATTGAGTCCTTCAGGATTGAAACTAAACTATGCAGAGCTGTGCTCCTCCAGGAACTGGATTTGACACCTGGCTCCAAACCTTTATGAGTTTCTGTATCCTATTCAAAAGAGGACATTTGGAATAATGCTGGAAATTTAAAGGTGAGGGATTATAAATATAGAATTAACTGGCTACCAGTTTCCAACATTATTTAAAATATCTTCTTTTGTGTTCAACAAATAAGTTTTTAACAGGTGGGTGATTTATGAAAAAATCCCTTTAATGTTTAACTTACTTTTCATTTATATGTAGTGCAGTTACATCATCCCAACGAGCACCTTGATGTCAGAAGACATTAAAAAACATCATTTATTTGATGTCAAAACCTTGACACCCATTTGAAATTCACACATTGATGCCCTTTTAATAACCAAAATAACAACACAAAAAGTATTATATAAGAAATGTTTTATTCAAGCTTTAATTCTAAACTCCAAATTCACACTGGATTTTGGATCTACCTTGATGTCAAAACGACATCAAATTGACGTTCAACATTAGCTTAAAAAAAAAAAAAAACACGCACAGGACTAATCAATTTTTGATGCCAACATTAGATATTGTTTTGACGTCCAGGTAGTCAATTGATATAAAGGAGATTTGCATTGTGACAATTGTTATGTCGTTTTGGCATCAGGATTCCTGCTGGGTTGCACACTCAGTGGCAAAATATTAAATATTTGTATACTTCATAAGATACTTGATATTTTCCTTTGTAATGACAGCACGTAAGGTGTTCAGGAGCACACCTTCACACTTGAACACTTCACAGTTGAAGTGTTTTAGCCGCTTGATTTGCATAGGTTTTACACAATCATAGATACCGGCTTGCAAATGTGCAAAGCACAAACGCTACTGGCCATCTAACAGGGTTTAACCAAATACCTGCATAGTGCATATCTAAACACGTTCCTTATTCATGCATCACAAGAAATGACATTCAAAACATGTGTAAATTCTTTTAGAGTTGTTGTAGATGTGAGGCTACAGGATACACACATGGCTTTCTGATCTGACATCAAGTGCAGGATCCCAGTGAACATTTCTTCAACAATGGGCTGTTCTGCTTATTGCTTCCACTGTCTTTTTGATCATGGGACACCGGTGATTCTGGTTGTTAGTAGCAAAAAAGTGGGATTCATCTTCAGACTGTTGCAGCTATGCATCATCGTATATGTTGCTGTGTGAGTATATTTCAACTTTAAAAGAAATAACAATTGCATCTGTTTGTGTTTATCTAATTGGTTGAATAAGAGTGAAATTACATTGACATGCTTAAAAATAGAACTCGACTTCAAGTAGAGTCGAAGTCAGAATTATTAATCCCCCTTTAAAATTTCTTTTTCTGTCTCAAAAATTTCCCCAAATGATGTTAAACTGTGCAAGGAAATTTTCACAGTATGTCTGATAATATTTTTTTCTTCTAGAGAAAGCCTTATTTTATTTTGGCTAGAATAAAAGCAGTTATTATTTAAAAAAAAAAAAAAAAAACATTTTAAGGCCAAAATTATTAGCCCCTTCAAGCTAATTTTTTTTCGATAGTCTACAGAACAAACCATGGTTAAACAAAAACTTGCCTAATTACCCTAACCTGCCTAGTTCACCTAATTAACCTAGTTAAGCCTTTAAATGTCACTTTAAGCTGTATAGAAGTGTCTTGAAAAATATCTAGTCAAATATTTAATGTCATCATGGCAAAGATAAAATACATCAGTGAATAGAAATGAGTTATTAAAGACTATTATGTTTAGAAATGTGTCAAGAAAATCCCTCTGTTAAATAGAAATCGGGAAAAAAATAAACAAGGGGGCTAATAATTCTGACTTCAACTGTATATGTATCAGTTGACCCTAATATTAAATATTCCTATGAGGTTTGAAGTAAACAAATGAATAAACACATTTTAAAGAGACCTTAAAGAAAGAAAGAAAGAAAACTTCCTCATCATTTGGTAAGCTTTTATGAGTTCATTCTAATGAACAGAAAAATATGTCTTGAATAAATAATAATAGCAATATTCTGAATTAAAAGCAGCCACTGACATCCAAAGTAAGAACACAAAATACTATGGAAGTCGAAAGCTGTTGCTTTCCAACATTCTTCAAAATATCATCTTTTTTTGTTCAGCAGAAGGAAGAAACTCAAAAGTGGAGGATGAGTAAATGATGACAATTTAAACTGTCCCATTTGTGAATGTCGCACTCACTGAAATTTCTAGCAGTCTTTATGGTTCAGGATATCTCTGTGTTGTATTTTTTAAGGTATGTCTGCTGGTATAAACGGGCCTATCAAGAGAGAGATTCAGTGATCAGCTCAGTTAGTACGAAGGTGAAAGGAAACATTCTGACCAATTCATCTGCTCTTGGAACTCATGTTTGGGACACTTCTGAATATGTCATCCCACCACAGGTACCTAAAGTTTGAAAGGAACCCATAGAAAATTAAAACGGCTTCTCTGAGTTATAGTTTCTAAATGGAGTAAATTGCAAGTATGTTTGGTGTTTAAAGTCATTTGTTCTATAATGTTCACATTTTAAGTATATTTTATTCACTTTAAACTATTTACTTAATTTTCATGCATGAAAATGTTCCAAAACTACTTCTTTTGAGTGTTTATCAAAAGTATTCACGACTTCATTAGTGTCATGGGTAATTAACATTAAAAGGGTTTGAATTGTGAATTTTGTTGCTATTAAACTCTGATAATAGTGTTGACATTGCATAACAGAATTGACAAATAAAATAAGTCAGTTCTTCTTTAGTAAACAAAAAAGAAAATATATACCTGTGGTAGGCAAATGCTGTATTATTCATAAGTTGTATGTTTTCTGTACGACACTGGAATGAATTTCTGTTTACTCTTTATTGGACATCTGATTCATTGGAAAAACTCATTGGAAAAATCTTGGAATGTTATTACAAGATTTTTGAAATTAAAAAATAATTATATTGTAATCAATGTTAAAGTGCATTCTTAGCCCAACAAAGGGTTAAAGATTTTTGTTTATTTATTTAAAAAAAGCTAAATATATCTTCAATAATAGAATCACCAATATGCTTTGTGTTCAAATGAAAGATCTCTCCTTAAAAACTAATTATTTATTCATGTCATTCCAAACCCTTAAGGCTTTGTGTGACACAAACCGAAACCCTTTTCACAAGACTGTTATGATTGTTAATGGTCATCAGCATTTAAAATCCTTGAACATTTTAGACGATGTATATTTTATGCATTTATTATTATCTTTGCATCAAATTACAACAAACGAATTACGGCATATGTGAGGCGTTTCTAATGAAGGGTCTGTGGACAGTAAATGTGAAGCTGTTCTCTCTTCCGTCTATATAAACATTTAAATAATAAAACAAAATCATTACCAGCATGATCATATCATCCCAAAAATATAAATTTATGCAATAGGAACATTATTTGTCAGTGACCTCTGACCAGGGGTGATCAAACCTTTTCTTATGAAGGGCCAAAAAGCACACTTGCCATGGGTAATTTATTTTATACTATTTAAAAAAATAAGTAGAAAACATTGCTTTATATTAACTAATACATAATTTTTAGAGAGTTTATAATAAACTTATTACAGTAAAAATAATGTAATTTATAACAGAATTGAGTTCTTTGCCTTATTTGCTCACCAATGTCTTCTGCATAGTCCTCTATCTGTCGAGTGACATTTAAAATGTTTTATTTACATTTTAAAAAATCTTATTTATTTAAAATTTAATTGAAACATTTAATTTCAGTTTTCTTTTTTTTTTGTTGCTGAGCAATAAAACAAAAAAGGTTACATCAAATTAGAAATTATCTCTTTTAAAGGCATTCGCCCCAACCCTCTCCATTCTTCTCATTCTCTTCTCAGATGAGAGGTTACAATGGGCCAACTTTAGCCCGTCGGTCTACTTTGGGCATCTCTGCTCTTTATAGTTTTTAAAAAAAGTAGAATTATGATTTCCTTTTGCTTTGAAATCACCTTAAACACACTTTCCGATCAACTTGAATTTAATTGCAAATAATGAAATGTAAAATTGATATCACCATTTTTCAAAATTCTATCATCTTTTCTGTTCCTCGAGGTCTCGAGGTGAACTCTTCTTTAAATTCAAGATTGAAAAACTCTTTTCCTTGTTTTTTTCTTGTAGGGTGAAAACTCTTTCTTTGTTTTAACAAATGCGATTGTTACTCAAGGCCAAACACAGGGCAGCTGTCCTGAGGTATGATAAAACACACTAATGCTGTCCACTTTCTCTCATGAAAAACTATTGCTTATTGCATTATGACTGATTCCATTTTACAGATTCCAAGTGAATTCACTAATTGCCAATCAGACAGTGACTGCAAAGAGGGACTCAAAGAAATTCGTGGCAATGGCATGTATTCATGTATAATAAGTTTTTCTGTGCATCACACTGCAAATCTTCTTTGGCTCTCAGTGAAGGCAGTCACACTTTTTCCCACTCCGTGCCATATTTCTTCTGGCTGGCTCCTCTTGTCTCGTCTTGTTCTATCTCTGCGACTCCTTGCCTTGCTCTCCAAACAAATAAGAAATTATGGATTTGATCAACTGGTCTCTGAACGCAGTTGACACCATGTTGACGAGAAGTCTGTGTTCGGGGGAACCCAGCTGACCTGCGGGTACGTTTGCAGCTGGATACATGATGAACAGATGGGAGAAGTAACGTGTTGTGTGCCTGGCTGCTCTGTCCCTGGAGGATATTGAAGATATCTATCTATTCGGAACTTTGATAACTGGGTTTCTTCTAATGGGCTTCAACAGCAGTCTGAGAGGGTCTTTTTTCGCCTCCCTCTTCCCTAATGTATTTTATTTCCTCTTTCTAAAAGCTACCTCTCGTTGACCGGTCATTCCCTGATATGTTTGATGTTTGTGTATGGTCAAGGGGGTCCAATTTCACTGCATGTAAAAGTGTATGTGACAAAGGCTTTTCATCATCCTTTTTCCCATCATCAAAACATTTATGAAACGATTTGATGCCACAAAGCAAAAAAGTAAATTAAATGTAAAATGGTCATCAACATCCTTCTTGATGTGTGATCCACACAGGCGTTCAGACGGGCAAATGTGTCCAATACTCTGAAACCATCAAAACCTGCGAGGTCCTGTCATGGTGTCCTCTGGAAAACGACACTGTCATTCCAAAGTGAGTGTTCAGTAAAAGTGAACAAGTTTAATGCACAATTGAAACTGGGAATATTAATAAAGTTTGTGATTGTACAGGCCTGCTCTTTTGAGCGCAGCGGAGGATTTCACCGTGCTCATCAAAAACAACATTCAGTATCCAAAGTTCAAATTCAGAAAGTAAGTACACTAATTAGTAGTTCAGGCATTTTATTTTTACAAAAATACCTGTTGTTAGCATTTTGCTAAATGAGAGAGTTCAGCCAAAAGTTAATTTATACTGTGGTTCTTAACTATTTGGAATTTCTTTCTTTCCCTGATTTTCACTACTTTTAGTAGCAAGAAAAAATACTATTACAATCAATGGCTGTAATTTTGTCAATGGCTGTAATAATGAAACTTTGTCAGATTTTAAAACAAGTTTGGCACAAGTGGAGAAGTAAAGCATGGTAAATCAGTTTTCATTTTTGGGTGAACTATCCCTTTACCACTTGCATTTTTATATTACAATTTATATAGTTGTAATGTAGCTGTTTTTTAAAGGTCTGCAAAGTTTTAAGAGATCAAAAAAGTCTAAACTGATTCTAGTTTTATTTCTACAACCGATCTGTAACAATAGGCATATTTCCATTACATTTCTTTTCTTTTTTTATCTAAACACTGATGTCATAAATGTTATGGAACTAAAAGTCCTCTCACTATCATTATAAAAGCATAGCAACAGATATTTGTGGTGCTTTAAAAAATTGATATATTGCCCTCTAAAGGGCACTTCAGAGTAAAAACAATGATGGCTGCCACATTAAGGTGTAATTCCAAACTAAATTTCTCAAAACTGGTCACTTCGAAGGGCACTTTGGAGTTAAGGATTTTGATAGGTACAATTGATGGACACATGGCCCCCATGATACCCCAAGGAAGTTCTTTCGTGTCGTTGGTGTAATACATATGACCTAATTCCTTCGAAGCTGTAACTCCAGAGTGTAAACCTTTCAAAGTGATAAAGGGCATAGGGATGAATGCTTCCAAGTAGCAAGGGATAGACATTGCACCCAGTACACAAACCTTTATGTTTAATATGTGCATCAGACAACTTCAAGGCACACCAATTGTATCATGCCCAAGGGAGTGATCATGCAACTTTTACGTATGCTATATGATTTGTGATC